GTCCTCCCACTACAACTCCAGCGACTGCCGTTGGTTTATGTTACACATTCTGCGTGTTCGTACCGCATGGTGGGGGAACCTTGGGAGGGGAAATTTGCTCGTGAGCAAGAAGTTAAGCGCCTCTGCTCTACAACATATCAAAAATTCAACAAAATTAGAGTTGAGGCCCACCCTTCCAAATAATCACCCTTTTTTTTCTTGTGATGATAAAGAAATATAATATTTTTGCAGTAATTTTTATAAACGATTAATTTAATGTACCTTGGAAGCGTCACCGTAAGGGAAGAAATTTCCGTATATCTTCTTGAACTCTTCTACGCTGAGATGTCCACTCGGACAGTCCTTCAAGAAGCCTTTGTACCATTCTTGAATTTCAGCATCTTTAAAGTGAAACATATTTTCTCATTGATACGCGATATTGTGCTAAACAGTATATTAGAACTTTTGTGGGATTGAAAACGAGGATTATTCAGTTTCTAAATTGATGGATGTTTCGATTTATAAATTAATATTAATACACATTTCATATTTATTAATATGAATTAAAGAGTAAATAGAATTATAGACGCATGTTCATGTAGATTTAATTTTCATGTAATCATAATACACTACCGGCCAAATGTTTGGAATCACTGTGCATTGCAAGCTGCGCAAAAATTCCCCAAAAAGTTAGTATTTATAACAATTTTTCAACGAATTTTTTATCACTCAAATCAATCGAAATAATCATAATACACTACCGGCCAAATGTTTGGAATCACTGTGCATTGCAAGCTGCGCAAAAATTCACCAAAAAGTTAGTATTTATAACAATTTTTCAACGAATTTCTTATCACTCAAATCAATCGAAATGAGGTGAAGTACTACTGATCTCCACAACATCAATTTCAAATCAATAAAGAATTAGTAGCAGATTCAATATTAATACAAATTGGCAGGCGGTTCCAAATTTTCGGCAGGTAGTGTATGTAGGGTAACTGTACCTAACATGGAACATCTGATTTTAAAAGCTTGCCAAACATAGAGACATGCTTTTTCTTAGCGAAGCTAACGTTAAAACACGACAAAATTAATAGACATTCGTATGTTAATAGTTAACTATGCAAAAGTTTAAGTGTCTTGAAGTCATGCTAAGAAATGTAAAAGAAGTCAAACGCGTCGAGTTGAAAAAATGGTACTTAATATGGAACATCTAGGAAATTTGTAAAGAAATCTGGAAAAACGTTATTTTACTATGAAAAATGAATATTTATACAAATAAAAACAAATAAATATTTTCCATTCTTTTGGTATTTTGTCCCAAGATTTTCTTTTAATTTTTGGTGCTACAACTTCCATCTATTATATAAACAATAATAATAACGATAGCATAAAAGTATGTAAGATATTGTAGCACAATAATATAATGTACTTACAATGGTAAAAATATAATATAATATTGTGTAATATTAATAAGGAACATGCAGCCAATATGGAAACTCGACGTGTTCCACATTACGTGTATACGTATTTAGACAGAAAAATAATAATTATACCAAGAAGAAGAAAAATTAAACGGTAAATTTTTTTTGAAGACTCAAAAACAAACAGTTTAATGATAAATCATGTAAAGGTAATACTTTTTTACCTTATCATCTCTAAAAAATTTCACTATTTAGCTCGTCTCTCAAAAACTTTTATACGCTTTCAAACAACAATCAATTTAACATTCAACGACAGACTTGTAACTAAATAGAAAATGTAAATACGATTGTCTTTTCTTTTTAATGAAATATTTTTCACTATTGACGACTGATTTTGTTACTTATTTGCCGAGATATTGCGGTGTTCCATATTAGGTACAGTTACCCTATGTGCCGGTGATTATGAAAGTGGCTTAAGTCATATATTTTTCGTTTCGAGATATTTAGAAATTTCCCATTGGGTGTATTAAAAGATATTTTTTTATTATGTAATCAAATCTTTCACAAAATACTTGCTCTTATAATATAAATCTTTTCTGTGAAAAGATCGATCAATTGTTTTAGATTTTTGACTTAGACCATTTTCATAATCACCAGTAGATGTATTATTATTTCATGTAGAATTAAGCTCATGTAAATGTTCATATTAAGTTAGTTTGAAGGGGACCTTAATGAAGTGTTTTCTATAGATAAACATTGTTTGCATCAATTTAATTCTCTTAAATGATTACATGCTTATATACGAAATAATATGTCGTATTCACTGAGACTACTGTATGTATTTGAAAAGAAGAAAGAAAAAAACATTTAACATATTATTTCGAAATTTTCTTAATTTTATCTTATACTTGTGTTCACAAGCTACGTAAGAAATTCATTAAATTAAAGTTCATCCAACGACTGCAAGTGTACCTGAGAATTCTGTGTTTTGTTTGAGATCCTCTAGTACTTCCGGTTTCAGCTTGCTGTTTTGTTTGCCCATGGCTATTTGATGTTCCTTTTTAGAATTTCAGCGACGAGTCTCAGAATTCAATTAGTAGATTATCAAGCTCTAACTAGCCTACTATTCTACTGGTGCCGTTTAGAATAGCACTTCGTGGCTGGTAGTTTTCCACCAGACACGCCTGCAAAGGAAAAAAAGTGAATAAATGTTTGAAAATTTATTTCCTTAAAGATTCTTCGAATAAAACAATTTCAGTGGAAACCGGGATTTTCGCGGTTTTCTTCTTTGAAAAGGAGAAAACAGAGACAAATAAATGTGCGCGTGCACATGAAGAAGAGAGAAGAGAAGAGAAGAGACGAAAGAAGAGAAGAGAAGAGCAGACAAGAGAAGGGAAGACAAGAGAAGAGCAGACAAGAGAAGGGAAGACAAGAGAAGAGCAGAGAAGAGAGAAGGGAAGAGAAAAGAAGAAAATAGAGAAGAGAAGAGAGAAGGGAAGAGAAGAGAATAGAGAAGAGAAGGGAAGAGAAGAGAGAAGAGGTGAGAAGAGAAAAGAAGAAAAAAGGGAGAAGAGATGAGAAAAGAAGAAAAAAGAGAAGAGATAAGAAGAAAAGAGAGGAGAGAAGAGAAGAAAAGAGAGAAGAGAAAAGAAGAAAAGAGAGGAGAGAAGAGAAGAAAAGAGAGAAGAGAAGAAAAGAAAAGAGAGAAGAGAAGAGAAGAAAAGAGAGAAGAGAAGAGAAGAGAGGCGAGAGAAGAGAAGAGAGGCGAGAGAAGAGAGACGAGAGAGATAGAGAGAAATTTATCGTGTAAATACTTAATAGATGTAGTAAAGTAGTAAAACGGTGCACTTTAAACCACTTTAAAAGTGAATACTAATATATTTTATGATTGCAAATCGTTATACTTGATCATAGCTGTTCTTCACTTTAATGCATTGAAATAATCTTACTGATTTCCTTTATCAAAGCAAAATCGTTATGTCTACGGTATATGTTCTTTATAGAGGCAATCGCAGAACGTAAACACCGAATATTTTCTTACCGTAAATACAACATTTATACGTATACAATCATACACACTCACAAAACTGTAACAGAAACGAACAAAAGGTTAACATGGTTTAGGTAATGGCAAAAAAAAGTAGAGAAAAAGAAAAGGATAAACGTAGTAGTATAAAGAGAGAAGAGAAATGTTGATGAGACTGTAACAATGATAATAATGATTACAACAATAGTGATAATACATTTAGAGCATACTGTGGTTTATTATTATAATAATATTATTTGTAACGATCATTAATGCGAAAGTTCCTTCTTATTTGTTTTTTCTTTGTTCTGCCGTGCATACTTTTACGAACAAAATCTAAGTTTAACTGCTTAAACGGAATTAATAAGTACCGTGCTAACGTAATACGTAAGTACACATTAATTCTTATTAAACCATGCACACGTAAGTACTACAAGATAGAATTCGGAGCGTAGATCATTTTTTTTTCTTTTTTTTTTTTTTTTTTGTGAAAAGAATTTCATAGAATTATGTCCGAGTCTTTTCGATTTGTTTTGTTATCGTTTTCTATGCGTAAGAATATTTTATATCGTAACTTTAAATACGTAGTAATATATGAAGGAGTCTAAAAAAAAAAAAAAAAAAAAAATGGATTTTATTCGGTTTATGTTTAAAGAAAACTTCGTTTTTAATGGAATAATAATAAATTAATCATAGATACTTTTGCAGTCCTAAAATTACAAGAGTTGCTACGTTACTAGTTAAAATGTCTTGTATTGCAGAAATCACCTGATAAGAGTTTGCAACGTGTTCATATCAGGAATGCTGTAGTCCGTTAAATGTAAATTAATATTAATTTTTTTTTCTTCTTTCTTTAATAAATTCTATTTCCTTCGTAAGGTCTAAAACTTAACTTCGCCTTTTGTAAAGCGTGGAAATGGCCGACAATTAGCAATTATTAATTGCACGCGAATAGTGACGTACGGTATCGAGAGCTTCGGAACGTTAAGCTGCGTCTAAACTACATATACAGTGTTGTAAAACAAATTTCTTTGTAACCCTGTTGCACAACATGTTTTTGTAACTTGTTACAAGATTGTATCTTTTGGTATTGCAGTAAGAAGAAGTCTGTAACAAATTTGTATATCTTCGTTTTCTCAGCTATCGCTAAAACTGTTCGATCGACATTCGAATTTGTTTTTCTATGTCACTTAAATCCACCTCCGTATCGAGATCTATTTTAGCCCCACGCATCATGCTTCTTAATTCTGTCTTTGAAGTTCATTAACTTTCTTCTTTCTTTCGTCACTTCCATTTTATAATTATAAGAAACGATATCAACTGGTAACATGTCACATAACAATGTTTCATAACTATCTTTGATCTTTACTGACATTCGATGGGTAACACATAACTGGCTGTATAACAAGTAATTTAAGTACTTTGACGCGCGTGGCAGACGATAGACGTTCAATTCGGCGTTTTTTTAATTTTTAAATAATTTAAATTTCTTAAAAATTAAAAAATAAAAATCATTTTGAAAATTAAGGTGGAAGCACGCATAGGAGAAAAATTGAGGATTAAATTCGCGCTAATGGTACAGTGTCAGTAAATATTCAGAACTCCTATAGGCGCCAAGGTCACAGGCGAGGAGACATTCAAAACGCCTATAGGCGCCAAGGTCACAGTGCGAGCACATTTTCAAAGTGCCTGTAAGCGTCAACGGTAGTGAGACACGCGTGGCAGTACAGATGTTCAATCGCGGTGGCAAAATCGTCCGTTTCAGCGTTTTGAAGTTTTTCAAAAATTTAAAAATAAAAATTTTTCAATTTACCGTTTCAAGAATTAAGACAGAGACAGGCGAAGGACAACATTTCAGGATTAAATTCGCGCTAATGGTTTCAACGCGAGCAAATATTCAAAATGCCTATAGGCGGCAAGGTCACGGTGTGAGTAAATATTTAGAACGCCTATAGGCGCCAAGGTCACGGTGTGAGTAAATATTTAGAACGCCTATAGGCGCCAAGGGCACGGTGACGCGCACATTTTCCAAGTGCCTACAGGCGGTTAACAGCGGTGAAAGTGTTAACACAATGTTACGTAACATTTTTCTCTCCCTTTTCCCAACAAGTTCTATAACTTCGTTATTCAACGCGTTATGTTACATAGTATAGACGCAGCTTTGGAACGTTGCGCGCCTGATAATGCGCTATAAAGCTCGTACCGCCGACAGACCGCAATAATTGTGAACTAACGTATCAATGGCATTGGGTGACACTCTCAAGACGCGTTTTCCGTATGCATGTTATCTGCGTTTACTTTTACGTCTGGCTCGCTGTTTGGTGCTGCACCTTGTAACACAGTAAAGGAATGAACGCGGTACATATACATGTAAGTGTACGTGTCATGAAGTACGCATGTATATTAACATAAATTTAATTAATCGATATGCTCACTCGAGTCGGAAATTATTCATAATTGTAAGAATATCACGGATAAACGTAACGTTACAATGCTTGCTTTACATCTCGTTGCGCAAATGACTCGGTGAAATTTCAAACACGCACGTTTTACAAGTGAGCTATCGATTTAACAATAGACACGATTAATCGTTGGATCATGAATACACACTTTCGTCCTTTGAAATCGAACATTTACCGATCCTTTAACGCGCAGGCTCGTTTAATTTTCAATCACGAACAGGAGTTAGTTCTTTTTCGGTTGTAATATCATCATTCAATTCTACGAATGTAACGTGGAATTTGAACTCTTCGGAAAGTTTAAGGCTCTTACGATCCAAGGATTAAGCAAAGATGGTGACAGGTTGTAAAGGTGTGCAAGAGGTGACAACGAACATGATTTATAGAGCAGAGTTTTCAATTTGCAACAAGATGTTAGACGATTTAAGTTTTGTCTCTTCTTTAGATTTGTATAACCGATCGACTAACTGTTTCTAAATAATATAGAAATTGAATCGGTACGCGCAAATTCAGGCGCTTGTTACAAATCATCTCTTTTACAAATTTGGCTACGTTAAATGTTCAATCATGACCGTGAAAGTTCGTTTAAACAAACACAAACGCGACGAAATGAAATCAGTACTCGAACCATTTGACAAGACATTACAAAAATATTACAAATTTTATTTTGTACAATTTCCGGTGTATTTGAACTTCCTTTAAAATCGCGAGATTGACTGCGTTCAATTATACCGTCATTTTTACGTACGTCTAGAAATAATCTGTGTATTTCGTATTACTTTCTCTGCGAATCACAAAACGTATACCGAATTATGTAAATTTAATAACTGCAATAGAATGTATGATAGAAAAAATTCGTTCTATTTAAACGGTCGGTTGTTACGCAGAAAGTGTAAAAGAAAGATACTCGTAACGTCTTTTCTTCATTTTTAAGTTTACTTCGCTGTCCTCTCTTCGAAAGCTTGAAGATATTTCGATCACCGATAGAACCAAGTGAATTTAACGAATTCTTGGAAATGTGTATAAAGTACTCTTTGAAAATCGAACACGTTTGTAATCTATGCAACAAATTTCCACCGAAATGACGCAGATTCGTTTGTCTTCATCCATCATAGAATACAACATTTGTGCAATATCGCGGTGTACGTTATTAGAATTACACATGTATTTGAATATTAATCGACTAAAGCTGTGAACACCTTAGTAAATATCTACCTGTCACCTCCTCTCACACGTTGTATGCTATTTAATCAGCTAATAAATGCATATACAATGTTTTTTAATTACACGTTTCTTAAGAGACACAGATAGAGAGACAGAGAGACAGAGAGAGAGAGAGTGTGAGATAGAGAGAGAGAGATAGAGTTTGTATAGGTTTGTAAAGTATAAAAAGATTTATAGTAATTCGTGGTGCAAATGTGCATTCGCAAAGAAACACCTGAGAAATTTCACTGTTCCATTTGAAATCGTTCGAGCTATAAAATAAAATGGTGGCCTTAAAACGTATAATTATAATATTTCAAATGAATTTCCTTACTTAATAATATTTATATTACACGGTTACGAGCAGTACTTGGTTTCACTTCTCGTTCAACTATTCCTTTCTGTTATATACATTTCATAAATTTCTTCTCGGAAACGATATTTGTACTCTTGTACTTGAAGTAACGAAGAAAAGAGAATGATCGAAGGTTCATAC